CAGATATGGGCAAAGGTAAGGAGCAAATGTGTGATCTCCTTAGAGGAATGCCGGTGTTTTCTGGTATTCTGTACCACTGTGAGATCTAAGTGGTGTGGAATGGTAAGAAATGAGGCTAGCCAGCTGTGGCACACACCTGTAATCCCGGCACTCCAGAGGCTAAGACAGGTGGATCACCATGAGTTCAAGGCCAACCTGGGCTCCACAGTGAGTTGAAGGCCAACCTGAACATAGTGAGACCTTGTCTCAGGCAAATAAACAAACAAAACAGAAAAGAAATGAGACTAAGGAAGTGGCCAGCAGTCCGGTCATACAAGGTCTTGCATAACATAATGTCCACGCTGAATGTATCCTACCTGTAGGGAACCCACTGTTTTATCTTAAGCAGGAATATAATATGGTAACAGTTGTATCCCCATCACCACCACACACACAAATTATACACATCTGTGTTGAGAAATGACTCCAGGGGCACTCTAACACTAAGCAACATCCCTAGACCTTTTTTTTTTTATTTTATTTTGAGGCAGGGCTTTGCTAAATTGCTAAATTGGTGTAATCCTCCTGCCTCAGCCTCTGAAGCAGCTAGGGTTACAGGTGTTAACTGCCTGAAAGATAATTTTAGCAGTAGCATGGAAGACACATTCAGGAAAAACAAAAGTTGAACTGGAAGACCAATCAGAAAACTATCAGCTCCAGCTCAACGTGGTAATACACAGCAAGGCAGCCCAGCCGCAGATCCCAGACACCTGGCAGGAGCTGGTGGGACTCCTGAAGCAAAAGCAGGAGCTGGTGGAAAAACTGACAAACTCGGAGAGACAGATCTATGCTTTTGAAGGAGGCTGCCTAGAAGACACAAGACACTCAAAAGTACAGCAATGGATTGGTATCTGACCAACAACAACAAAACTCCTATAGCAAAAAAAAAAAAAAAATCGAAGAAACCGGAAGTGTAAGGAAGCTGAGCTGTTGTTCAGTAAATCTTTAGTTACATCGGCAGCTGCAGTAAGTGCATTGGCAGGAGTTCAGGACCAAATCATTGAAAAAAGGGAACCAGGAAGTGGGGATGGAAAATGATTCTTCTCCGGACTTCCACAATCAGGAAAATGAGCCCAGCCGGGAGGACCCTAAGGATCTGGATGGATTTGTGCATGGAGGGAAACCTCAGAAGGCTGCTGCTTCCACTTCCTCGGGGAGCCATCATAGCAGCCATAAAAAAGAATAAAAACCGGCACAGGTATGTATATTAGGTTAGGCTGGGAAGTTTTTGTTTGCTTGTTTGTTTTTGTTTTTTTAACAGAAAAACATGAGGGAGGATTGATCTCAGGTTAGAAGACTCATGAATACAGAGGCTTCCAGGCTGTAGAGTCCTGCTTCCCTTTTCTGACCTCACACAGATAAACATCCCTCTTCTGAGTGGGCGTGGTTGGCGTGGTTGCCCACCTCTGCTCTCCAGAACCAGTGCCTGTGACTCTGAGTAGTTTTTTTCTAAATGTAGTGACAAGTTACTTCAGTAAGACATTGCATCGTTTTCTTTGTGTCATTCTTAGAAGCAGAACTGCTGGGAGACAGAGGCGTGGTTATTGTCCCGCACATTCCTCTCTGTTGCTTCTCCCTTAGAATGAAAATCTCCCCCACACTGGCTGGCACCAACTACATCTGTGATCCCCGCTGAGACATGTTCTCTGGTTTTGTGTTGTGCTGAACGTAGACCACAAGTCACATTTCTGATACAGGCTGCAGATATCTGGCGGTTCTCTCATTTTATTCTGTGTTTTCTTACTTTCCTGTTGTTTTTACCATCTTATTTTCTTTCTGGGACTTTTTGCAATGCCTTTGTATAGCTCATCCCTTCCTGCTGACATATCTGATAATCTGTTTCATGCAGCTGCCAATATTTTAACTGAAAATAAAGTGGTTTACTAGAAGTAAAATGGGAAACTTGGCTCTGTGGTTTTTTTGTAGGGGGAGGTAAAGAGTGTTTATTTAATAATTACCTATCTTAAACCTCTGAATTGAAAGCAGTTTCATGTTCAAGGATCAGGAGAAACAGAAAACCATAAGATTAAATCAATCCTCTAAAATAGATATTTTTATTCTAAATAAATATATAAAATTCATAGGCTTCAACTTCTAAAGAAAAAAAAAGGAAAGAAAACTATCACAATCATCCTGATGAGAGATACCCAGGGCCAGAGGTGAGAGGCAGACAAATATGAAAGAACAATGAGAGATTAAATTTGGTGACTAATTAGAAGTAGGATGTACAATGAGGAAAAAAGAAAGTAGGATGTAAAAAGGAAAGAGGATTTAGGAGGACTCTTGCATGTAATTTAGCTTGTTATTTGGATAATGGTGCCATAAACTAAGGGAATTTAAGATGGAAAATAAAATTTTATTATTAGCCAAATTAAGGTTGAGTTATCAGTGTCACATCTAGACACAATCAGAAATTGGACACAAGGGCCTGGAGCTCAGGGGTGAAGTCTGGCCTAGAAAGGCAGGTTTCTGGAATCTTCTGGAATATATTCAGGACTTTTTTCCCTAAATTCCTGTTGCCTGGTGCTAGGCCCTGGGATTACAGGTAGGAAGATACCACTCCTGCCCCCAGGAAGATATAAGCTAACATACACCTGTGCCAATGTTGCAACACTGGTTGAGCACATGTGACCTCACAAGAGCAGTCAGATGAGGTGGCTTCTTGAAGTAGGTGTTTCTGGGGAGATAGGAATAAAATCAGGAGAAAATGGGGGAAGAGATCTATAGAAAAGTGGAAAGTTGACTGGAGAGGAAATGGAATCCAGATGAGACCGTGTGATATCTGGTGATGCAGTTTTACAGTGGCATGCTCCACTCTGCGCAATGGAGAGGAGTCTAGAGGGGAGCAGTTTGCCCGCCGACAAGCTTTCCCAGGGCACACTACCTGTGTTTGGTTGGCCATGGTCCTGGTCCTGTTCCTCAGACTCAGAACTTGATTTACATCATTTGTTACCTGTCATTATTATTGCTGGAGTGTTTCCCCTTAGTCATTCGCCCCACAGATGATTGGCCACACTTGAGGCACAGATGAAAGCTAAGGCCTCCACCTGTGGGGAAGCTGACCTGGGCAGCCTGCCTACCCCAGGCAGGACTCATCCCTTGGGAAACCAGTCTGCTCCAAGATCACTAGTGAAGGAGATTGGTGGATGGTTTCAGCATTCTCTGGTGTCAGAGCCTGCACTGATCCCTTCATACAAGATATTCTACTTGACTCAAAGATGGCAGTCATCCACTTTGAGCACCTGAGATTCCCTTCTCTAACTCTTCTATAAGCCAGGTTCAAGGTTTATTTCTGCTCCCTAAATAAAAAGCACTTTTGAATCCCAGTTTACTGAGATCACACCCAAGTTTTGAATGGTGTTTTAGCTATCCCAAGATCTCCAGCTGCTCATTTACAGGGTTGGCAATCTCTTGATTTACTCCTGCAGATTATATCCATTGTGTGTAGGCTTAACTCTGCAAATCTCAAGTGACAGGTTTAGATCTTAAAGGGCAGCTCACATCACCTCTTATAAAGATGAGTCAGAGAGGGTAGACCAGGAGGGTAAGATTAAATTGAGAAGTCCTTGAACATCTGGCCAAAACATTTGTGCCAGACCAGTGAGTGCTGTGGAATCCCCAGAGATGTGGGTTTGGGATAGGAGGATGGTTTATGATATCTTTATTTGAGACAATTTAATTTGTGGCTGAGCATAAGCTGCATAAGAATAAGAAGACAAAGGCCAAAGGCCCAATTAAGAAGCCAAGGTGATGGAGTTGGTGAGACATGCAAGGCCAGAGCTGAAATGCTGATAAAATCCAGAAAAGAAATGCCACGTTTAAAAGACATTTACAGAGAGAAACAATGAGACTTTGTGATTGATGGGCTGGCTATACCAGGTAACAAAAAGGAAGACGTTAATACTTTTTTAAAAATTACACAATTGTTGCAGGATATATGTCAGGTATTTCATTTGAGCTGTACTTGATTTTAGGTGTATAGATTTTTTTTTAACTTTTATTTGTGCATATTAGTTATACAGAATAATGTGTTTGTTTGGCATATTGGTACATGCATAACAGTATCGGTTTTGTTTATGTTTGTTTTGCAGAGTTGGAATGGAACCCAGGATATCATGCAGGCTAGGGTAAGTGCTTTACCTTTGGGCTACCCCCCACCCCAAGCCCTAGACATGTTTATAAGCAATATATACAGATAGATAGATAGATGATAGTTTTTGTTGTTGTTTTGTTCTTTTACTGAATCCATTTGGTGAATAATGGAGCCCAGCACTTTCATCCTGGCTCTCTTTGGACATTTGGACATTTAATACCATCAGCAACTAAAAATTCCAGCTAATCTAAACTCTTAAATCTCTTAAAAAGGAAAAATTTTAAAGAATAAAGAATAGCATTCAGCTGGGGATTTGGCTCAGTGGTTCCACTGCCTGCCTCGCAAGCACAAGCGCCTGAGTTCGATCCCAGTGCCAAAAAAAAAAAAAAAAAAAACACAGAACAATTTCAATCCCTGGTACCAAAAAAAAAAAAAAAAAAATAGTACCTAGAGAGAAGCTCAGGATAGTGGAGGGGTGGGGTTGTATTAGCACCTTAGTTACTTTTCTCATTGCTGAGACAAAATATTTGACACCCAAAGTTAAAGCAGTAAAGATTTATTGCAGCTCACAGTCTTTAGAGATTTCAGTTCATGGTTGGCTGGCTCCAAAACAGGGTGGCATGGCCAAGGGGCATCGCAGAGAAGAAATACTTCATGGCAGACAGAAGCCAGCAAAGACAAGCAGCAAGCAAACAGCAGTGACCCTCTTTCTGTCCCTTACATTCTACCCCTTAGGATAGGTAGCACTCACATCCCATTATCCACTCCCAGATCTTTGCTAAACCAATCAGTGGACTAATTTGGTTATGATACACCCTTATCCCAGCATCACACATCCCAGATCCACTACCGCGTGACTGCATGAGGCTTTGGGAGGACATCTAGCGATAACAGGTAGGATGGAGGAGAGTTGGTCTGTCAATCAATAAGCATCTATTATTTAAATATATTAACTGATACATGCTAATTTGTACATATTAATGGAATAACATGATATTTCAAAGCATGTACATTGTGTGTTTTCTTTTGTTTTGCTTCATTTTGTTTTTTGTGGTGCTGGGCATAAAATCCAAGACCACATGCCAGGCACACACTGTACCACTGAGCTACACCTCCAGCTCTTACACTGTATAATTATAATGTCATTTAAATCAATTCAAACATAGCTATCTCCTCAAACATGTATCATTTCATTATGGTAAAGAATTTCAAAATCCTTTCTTCTAGCTTTTTAAAATGTGCAGTGTATCATTGTTACCTGTAGTCACCCTACTGGGCAACACCACACGGAACTTCTTGCTCCTCTCTAACTATAACCTAGTTCCCATTCATCAGCCTTTCCCCATCCCTCCCTCCCTTCTATCTTCCCTGGCCTCTGGCAACCACTATTCTACTCTCAAGTTCTACGAAATCAACTTCTTTATATTCCACATGTAAGTGAGTTCACATCTGCCTGTGCCTGGCTTATTTCACTTAGCATAATGATTTTCGTACTGCTGCAAGTGGCAGGATTTCTTTCTCTTCCTTTCCTTTTCTTTGCAGTAGTGGGGGCTGAACTTCAACCCAGGGCCTTTGCAAAATATTTTACCCTTATTAAACATTTATTGTGAAGTCTGGCTGGGCACGGTGGTGTACACATGCCTGTAATCCCAGTATTTAGGAAACTGAGAGGCAGAAGGATTGCTGTGAGTTTGAGGCCAGCCTGGGCTACATAGTGAGTTCAAGACCGGACTGAACTACACAGCGAGACCCTGTCTCAAAGCACACAAACAGACAAATAAATATTTATTCATTTTGCTACAGGATCTCACTAAGATACTATGTTGCCCAGGCTGGGCTCCAGCTCAGTTCTAGGATATAGCCATGCACCACCGTGCCTGGCCAGGATTTCATTTTTTATGGTTAGTAAGCATTTTTATGTAATTTTACTCTATACCTAAGGTTTCTCAAGGTACTGTGGAAACTACAAAAGCTGAATATCTGCTCCCTTTCAATGAGGAACTTCAAGGCTTCTTGGTAAACAGATTTTACTCTAAGAAATAATCAGAAGCAGTCTGTGGATAGCACTTGCCTAATGTGCACTGAGTTCAATCTCCAGTACAGAAAAACAAAACAAAAACAGAACAGAAAAAAAGGGTATAGGACTAAGTTTTTAAGCCTACATGTGAGGATGAGCCAAGTTCCATACAACTGAGTGCAGGGCCTCTGAAAGTCAAGGCAGATGGAGAAAACAAAAAGGTCAGGAGAACCAAAAAACAAGAAAGAAAAGTAATCATAGTTTGAAAAGAACAGGCAGATTGGGGCTGGTGAAGTTTAGTAACAGATTCCAGGGGAGTTGTTATCCTTTCTTTTTTTCCCTGAGTTTTATTCTTTGTAAAACACTTTCAGGTATATTAATCTCATTTTAGCCTTGACAATCCAGCAAAGGAGGTAAGGTAGGGATCAAAGAAAGGGGAAACGATTTGAGAGAGATCTATGATATAGGACTTTATGACCAATTAATCTTCTGGTTGAGGTTTGAGGTTGACTACTCCAGCTCATTCACTCAATTATTAAATTGCTCACACAACAAATACTTGCTGTGGTCTGTCGTGGGTCCTGTTTGCACACGGGTCCTAGACTTCCAGATTTCTGGCGGGGCTACCAGGGAGATTACATTGCCCTTGCCGAAGGGAAGAGGAAGGGAGAAGAGTATGTGGTGCAGATGTTCGTGTTTCAGGTGGTTCAGCCTCTACCCTAGGGATGTGGGACATGCATGGGACAACCAGGGGAAATTGACAAACAGGTAATTTTACAGAAAAGTTAGGATTTTTAGAACAGAAGTCTGAGACAGGAAATAGACTATTATTAGCCTATAGGTAAGACTTAAAACTGAGAGTAAGAGTATAGGTGTGGTGGTGCATACCTGTGATCCCATCTACTGAGGAGGCTGAGGCAGGAAGACTGCAAGTTCCAGCCCAGCCTGGGCAACTTAGCAACTTAGCAAGATCTTGTCTCAAAACAAACAAAAATCTTTTTACAGGGTTAGAGGTGTAAATTAAAGATTAGGTAGGGATTGGAACTCTCAGTAGTAGAGCTGTTGCCTAGCATGTGCGAGACCCTGTGTTTGATTACCTGTACCACAAAAAAGAAATAAAATAAAATAATTTTTAAAAACCACCAGAAAGTGGATTAGATGACCTCCAAAGATCTTGGTTGGGATATTGAATGACTCAGAACTTTAGTGCCTTTCTGTGGGAAACGAAGAAGACAATATTTCCATCTTGAAATTATCTTAGATTCATTGACTATAAGCAGGCCTTGAGCACAGCTCTGTATTATACACACTGGAAAAATATTTCATCGCCCTAGTATCTGCATCCTGTCTCACCTATCATTTTAGCACATTCCTCAAATAAGACCAACATTTTGCACTCATTTTCTTCCATTATCTCATCATCTTCACATTACCAGACAAAGGTCAAAAGTTAACCATGAACGGGTCTTGATGTCCAGTATCTGAATGTAAAATAAGAACATTAGGTTAACTCATAAGTATATTTTAGATAGGAAGGGCATATCTAATCAGGAACAGGCAAAAGAAGGTAATTATGCAGGGTACAGTGTTGCTCTACTGTTGAGCTTGGTTTCTGAAAGCACAACTAATGAATGACAAAGGATTGATGTGAATCCCAGCACTCTGAGAGGCTGAGGCAGGAAGACCATAATTTCAAGCCCAGCCTGAGCAATAGCAAGAGCAAAAACCTGGCTCAAAATAAAGATGTAGCTCAGTTTGAAGGCTCCTGGTTCAATTCCAATACCTAAAACAAAGAATTAATGTGAAAGTATATTTTCATACATACATTCTGACTGTTGAAAAGTGAAGGACAGGGCTAGGGATGTAGCTCAGTGGTGCTGCACCTTCCTGGCAAGTACAAGGTCAATCCCTGGTACCAAAAACAACAACAAAAAAAGTCGATGTTGAAAAATGAAGGGGAGGGGAAATTTAGAAAAGTTTGACAGAAAATCTCTAGTTATGATTAGGAAATCCCCTGACAGTCAAAATGAAAGACGGGGGGAAAGCCAGGATACTTTTAGAAAAATATTCAAAGCTAAATTGGAGGATACTGAAGGTAGAAGCTGTTGTAGTGGAGTGTAAAGCTGAAACAGGACAAAGAGGGATTTTCAAAGTCTGCTTTCTTTTTTCTTTTTTTTTTTTTCATTTCTAACTATATGGCGTAAAAGTGACTTTCTCAAATTAATCATTTTTGGAGGGTGATGTTACCAAATCTCCATGGGTTAGAAGCTGCCTGGCAATAGTAAGGCGCACATTTCCACTCGGTTTTAGTTGTTTAACTGTGTGGTATAGAAGTGGCGCTCGGCACCATGGCCAGCCACCCCATCATAAAGGTTGGTGAGGGCAGGCACAGCTATGCCTTCTGTGTACTACAGAAAGTTCCCTGGTGCTAGAGACTGACTTACTCCACCTTTAGCAAAAACAATTTAGGTGAGGCAATTTCTTGAATTTTTATTTATTTATTTATTTAGGTGGTTCTTGAAGCAAGTTCTTATTATGTAGCCCATGCTGGCCCCAAACTCACCATCCTCCTGCTTCAGCCTCCCAAGTGATGCAATTACGGACATATGCCATTGGGTCCAACTCTTGAAGTTTTGACCCCCCCCTCGTTAAGTTTATGGGTACATTTAAAGCAAACAATACAGTTAAATCTATCACTGGGATCTTGTACCTTTACATGATATATCTTGGTTCTTATTTTTTCCCCATACCCCTCTTCCCTTTATAGTGGCGCTCGGCACCATGGCCAGCCACCCCATCATAAAGGTTGGTGAGGGCAGGCACAGCTATGCCTTCTGTGTACTACAGAAAGTTCCCTGGTGCTAGAGACTGACTTACTCCACCTTTAGCAAAAACAATTTAGGTGAGGCAATTTCTTGAATTTTTATTTATTTATTTATTTAGGTGGTTCTTGAAGCAAGTTCTTATTATGTAGCCCATGCTGGCCCCAAACTCACCATCCTCCTGCTTCAGCCTCCCAAGTGATGCAATTACGGACATATGCCATTGGGTCCAACTCTTGAAGTTTTGACCCCCCCCTCGTTAAGTTTATGGGTACATTTAAAGCAAACAATACAGTTAAATCTATCACTGGGATCTTGTACCTTTACATGATATATCTTGGTTCTTATTTTTTCCCCATACCCCTGCCTTCCCTTTATCCCCTTCACCCTTCCCTATTTACAAAGGCTTTGTTTCCATTTCTTTCCTTTTTGCATATTTTTTCTTTTCTCTTATTTCCTTTCCCCTCCCCTTCCCACTTCCCCTTTAGCCATTTTTTCCTACTTCACACTATCAGTTATACCACTTGAACCTTATTTACACTTTTGGCTTTGCACACCAGAGAAACTATTCAGTATTTACTCATGTGTCCTATTTATTTCATTTAAGAGCATAGCCTCAATGTGCATCCATTTAGCTATAAATGTCTCTAGTTTCTCATTCTTTATGGCTGAGTAGTACTCCATTTTACAGAAAAAGTACATCTTCTTTATCCAGTCTCCATCTGATGGGCGTTTGGGTTGTTTCCAATCTTTAGCTATTGCAAACTGTTCTGCTGTAAACATAGGTGTGCATATATCACTGTAATATGATTCTTTTAATTCCTTTGGAAAGATACCCAGCAGGGGGATAGCTGGGTCAAATGGGACCTCTAATCCTACTTGTTTGAGGTATCTCCATATTGATTTCCATAGTGGTTGCACCAGTCTGCACTCCCACCAACAATGAGGAAGAGTTCCTTTCTCCCCACAGCCCTGCCAGCATTTGTTATTGGTTGATTTTTTGATAGCAGCCATTCTTTCTGGGGTGAGGTGGAATCTCAGTGTTGTTTTCATTT